AGTCAATTGATTGAGGTTTAGGCACATTATGGTACGTTAAGCTCTTTTTACATTAAGCTCTTCACATTAAATGTTTTAGCACTGTAAAATATAGCTTAATGTGAATAACTTTTGGTGTGATTTACCAAATGACCTGCAATTTTCAGAATATGTTGCCATAGATAGGGTCTTCTAATGTGTGATGTTTGGGGGAGATTGGTCAACATCTAAGCTGTTTTTTGTACGTTAAGCTACATTAAGCTCCCCAAAAAACAAGCTTAATGTCCCCCATTTTCTTTGTGGAAGGCTGAAATCTATGAAACGTCTAGGACATGTTTGGGACGTTGAGAACTTGGGCTGTGCAAAGTTTCAAGTCAATTGATTAAGATTTAGACAGTTTATTGCACGTTAAGCTACATTAAGCCATTTTCACATTAAATGTTTTAGTCTGTCCCCTGTTGGTGTGCAGCTCAGCTTGAAGCAGTCTACAGCAGCCAGAGACTTTAGCAGGTCCTCAAACGTTGTAAACTGTTGCAGCATTTCTTCATTTTGGGGCATCCCATGTACCCCCAATCCCTATTCAAGTTCTAACCAAAAATAAAACAAAACAAAACCCCCTAGACTGTTTTGTGGAGCCATTTGAAGTGTGTGGATAGTTCCTGTTGCCTGGCTGTGGCTGCTGTGTGGAGGAAAAGGCCCGAAATCGAGTGTCTCTTCTGGGTCTCTTCCGGGGGGTAGCACTACATAACATTATGATCACTAACAGGTGAAGTGAATAACATTGATTATCTTCTGAAAATAGCACCTGTCGGTGGGATATATTATGCAGCAAGGGAACATGTTGTCCATGAAGTTGATGTGTTGAAAAAATGGGCAAGCGAAAACAATTTTGACAAGTGACTAGACAACTGGGTCAGAACAATTCCAAAATTGCAGCTGGAATCCTAGAATGGCCTAGTCACCATCCTGATTTCAGGTTAATAGACAGTTTGAGGTTGGACTTGAAAAAGGCCATTCATTCACAACCTACATGTAACTTGACAAAGTTTAAGCATTTCGGCAAAAAGGAATAGCAAAAGATTATGGCCAACAGACAGTACAGGAAGTTATTGGCAGGATCACCAGTTTTTTTTATGGAACGCTTTCAATAGTTTATTCAACATACCAAAAGAGACCAAATAAGATAAGGTGGTTAACTTCACCCATTTGTTGAACTTCCTCTTATAACAATGCTCAATGGCAATACAAAATGGATATTGTCAATTTTTGATATAATTCATAAATACCTTTTCCAAATGCAGTTTGCCGGCACTTCCTGTCTTAGCTGCCTAGGCGGTTACATCATTAGGCGATTCCCTAGGACTCCTGGGATATCGGCGTCATCTATCCCAGGAGTCTTTGGGTAGCCTAATAGTGTAATCTTGCCAGTACTTGCCTCTGCTCCTTCTGGATCCTTTGCTGTTAACAGGTTGCTATTACAACAGGGCGGACACTTCCACTGCTGCCAATGCCATTGCCAGAGCAACTTGTTGACAGCACTGTGTGCCGGGCACTATCACTTGTGCGTGAGATCAGGAATTTCATGCTGCACTACATTCTGGAACTCACTGGCGCCAGCTTCAGATGCCCTCACCTAAGATGGCTGCCGCCAGCATTTGATCAGGGGCAAGTAGGGGGAAGTAAGCACTTCATGTAAAATATTGACAATATCCAAATTTAAAAGAGCATTTTTTTTAAGTAGCATGGGGAGGTTTTTATTGTATTTTTCATTTAGAATGGTTTTGCACAGAGCGGCCCTAAACCTCCTCTTCTGAGCACCCCACTGGCGCTCTCAGCTCCTTCTGCCTTCCGAGTGCCCCTATAGCAAGGCACTTGCTATGGGGGCACTCATGTGGGCTTGATCCCAGCTAGGTTGTGTGTCTGCTTGGTTCCACCTCCTGCTCTCTCCTTATAGGAATTGATTGACAGCAGCAGGAGCCAGTGTCTCCAGCGGCTGCTTCTATGTCCAGTGAGGAGAGAGAGAGAAAGCAGCTCCACTGCTCTCAGGCACATTGCTGGGTGGAGAACAGAAGTGTTGGGGGGGGGGGGGGGAATCTGACCATGGAAGCTTTTTACCTTAATACAGAAAATGTACTAAGGTATAAACCTTAAAGTGGTTGTAAACCTTACATATAACCAGTGAAGTGACTGGCATTGGGTTATTTACAGGGATTAAACAAATCCTCCTATATAAGTTGTGCCTGTTTACCTGTAGTCTTCTCTTCTCTACTTCCATTCAAAGTGCAGAATGTATAAACCTTGTCTGAGAGTTCAGAAAAAAAAAGGACGGAGAGATGAAATTACACTCTGAAGAGTTCAGTGAGGAGAGCTCTGAGAGCTTATTGGAGGGAAGGAACATACCCCCCTCCACACAACTCACAGGAACAGGGCTTAGGCTGTCAATCTGATGGAGGTCCCTCCCCAGTCACCATTTTTCTCTTGGTGTGAGGAAAACTTGGCAGAAGTGATTCATGCTGATAGCAGAGATACAAAGCAGCAGAAATAGCACTTATACACTATAGAGAGATCTGCTTTTTTATATTTCATGTCTGAGGTTTACATCCACTTTATGTCAAACCTTTGCCCAGAATAATCCACAAAGTTTACCAGTATTGTGTCTTCAGAGGATCAAAGCAGCAGACAGAAATAGCACTTATACACTATGGAGGGATATGCTTTTTTATATTTCATGTCTGAGGTTTACATCCACTTTATGAGCAGCACAGTGGTTAAATGGTTAGCACTTCTGCCTGGCAGTACTAGGGTCATTGGTTCAAATCCCAGCCACACCACCACCTGCCTGGAGTTTGCATGCTCTCCCTGTGCCTGCGTGCGTTTCCTCCGGGGGCTCGAGTTTCCTCCTACACTCCAAAGACATGCTGGTAGGTTAATTGGATTCTGTCTAAATTGGCCCTAGTATGTGTATGAATGTAAGTTAGGGACTTTAGATTGTATGCCCCTTGAGGGTTAGGGACTGATGTGAATGTACTCTATATATATATATATATATATATATATATGTAAAGTGCTGTGTAAATTGACGGCATTATATAAGTACCTGAAAAATAAATAAAATTAAATAAATGGCAAACCTTTGCCCAGAATAATCCATAAAGTTTACCAGTAATGTGTCTTCAGTCTTCAGCTGCCACAAGAGGGTGCTTGGAGCAGCATTTTTTCTAGCAAAAGTATGTATACCAGACCTTTTAGTTCTCAAAGGCATACCTTCCAACTGTCCCCCATATGGAGGGATTTGCAACTAAATCCTTCGGTCCCTCTTTCTTTCTCAGTTGCCCCCCCTTTTTACTTTATGTAAAGATCTTCAAAAATTATCAAAAGTGTTTTACTGCATTGAACTGCAAAAATGTTTTATCTAAAATTTAGATTTGTCCTATGTGTTATTCTGAAAAGCCAAAATAAAGGAAAAGTAGTGATTAAAAAAAAAATAGTCAAACCAATGATCCATCCTCACAGTCCTTGTTACTGGAAGTACGTGTGTCTTTGTGCTTGAATATATTCTTCTTTTCCATCCCACAAAGGTGAAAGGTGTGTATTAACTTATTTTATGTTACTATTTCAGTATAGGCTCATAGTAACAATAGATCTTAAAGAGACATACAAGATTATCTGAGATACCCAACAAGAAACAACCAAGCATTCGCAATTAGGAATATGAATTTTAATTTGTTTTGATTATACAAAGGCAAAGCCAAATTACCTGCACAATGACTATACAATTAAGATACAATAAAACTTTATTACAATGACCAACAATCCTTCCAAGACTGACAATTCAGTGCATTCAGTTATTTAAAGGAGAGGTACAGTTTAGGTGAAAAGCAGACTCATAAGTAGTTACATAGAGGAGTTTATCACATTATAAATAAGAGAGGACGTCTTTCCCTGTGTTGATTACAATGCTTGGTGACCAAAAATCTGCCCCATACAGTACAGTACATTCTGAGCTTATTCACTCTTGCATGTGCACATTTTCATTCCCACATCGATGTGCTCATTTTTCATGCGATTGCATCAACCTGGGAGGAGCTGCATACTGGATACATCCCTTGTTGGTAAGATCACAGTTCCCAATTCTGGTAACACAGGGCAACTAAGAAACGTGTCAGATGTTCCATGATACTGTGTTGAGGGGGGTGGGAGGTCATACATACATTGTACTGTAAATTTTTCTTTTAAATTGGGGTTTCCATTTAACTACACAGAACAAGAGATTAAGTTTGAAGTCAGTCTTAGAAGCCAATCACTGAGCAATTTTTATTATTATGCCAACATCATACTGCTGAACGCTGATTTCCATTTTTTTCCAAAATCTGTTTTGCATTTTGCATCGTATATATATATATATATATATATATATATATATATATATATATATATATATATATATAATTTGTAGATTTAAGATGTTCCCAGCTGCTAGTTTTCTTGATTTTGTTATTTTACATAGTCTACTTTCTTGTTACCACCCTCCCCACCACAATAAAATTCCATTGTCTAGTTTTATGCTTACATTATTAAGGAAGAACTCCATTCTAATGAAAAAAAAGATATTATTTAAAGTGTATCTGCCGTGCATGAATTTCCTTCAGAAGTTAATATTTCTCTATGCTGATCCTGTACCTTTTAATGGATGTCAGTGGCCTGGAACAAGTATGCAGATTTGGAGTTTAAACTTCACTAGATACTTCTGAAGTAAGTAGTAGAATTGAAAGTATAAAATTTGTGATCTATTCATTTTAAAAATTAATATCTGTTCAGTTTGTTATATCAAACAATCAGCTGTATTTACATTTCTTGAAAAAAGGAAAACAGCTATAGTCAAGTTACCCTCACAAGGAATGGGGGAACCCACAGTTTTGTTTTTTGCTGAATGGCTTGTTGCTTTTTTAAAAGTTATAATGCTTTTATGGTATGGACATATTAGAAATGGTACTTTGCAGAGTTCTTCTTTAATGGATTTCTTATTGAAACTCTCCAGTTAAATAAGGTACTGGGTAGTTCTGTTTGTCAAACCCAAGCACTGAGCATACCCCAAGAAGTCTCTGCCTAGCTTCCTTCTGATTCCTTCCCTCACAAGCCACATTGCCGTACGGTTCCTGATCTGGTCCATGCACTGCGCTACCCTCCAGGCAGTTGAAGCGGATGTGCCCAGCATTATGAAGCTCTGTCAACCTCTGTGGATTTGCTGTGCTACTTAAAGCTTCCTCATGAGATTCTCCTGTACACATCAGCCCAACAAGTACTGTAGACTCTAGGGCACCTTTTTCAGGCAATGCTGGCTCAATGCCACATGACAGTGCCAGAGCCACAAGCACTAGGTCAGTGCCGTAGATATGGCGAATCCAATCTCGTAAATAAAACCCACCCATGCGAGGATTAATCTCTAGTAGCCTTGGACCAGATTCAGTCAGTTTGAGCTCTACATTAAAAACTCCAGGGTAAAGGTTTAGTGCCTGGCAACTGCGCAAAGCAGCCTGAACTAACTGACAGCGTCTTTCTTGGTTAAGACGGGAGGGAAGTGCTGCTGCTGTTTCAGTAAAACCTGGAAGGAGGGTTGGCCCATTATCAGACACATATGCAGCCAAAAGACGGCCATTAGGACCTAAAACTAGATCCACATCATGCTCAGTGCCAGTAATGTACTCAGCAAGAAGAGGTGGGGGTGTAGTTTGGGTACTATCTCTGGCAGGCTGGCTTTGGTTAAGACTGGTTTCTCCATTCTGTATTACTGCCTCAGCCATTTCTTGTCCCAAACTTAACCCAATTTCACCATTACAGATTTTACTTTCATGTATTGCAATGTGTGTTTCATTTTTTTGCTTGCAAGCTTCGGGATCCGCTCCCATTTTCTTAACTAGTTTCCTACACTCTTCTGCACCCTGCACTAAGCGTACACCAACAGCACCTGCACCAGACTCTGGTTTTATAATCAAAGGGTAAGAAAGAACAGATTCTGCAGCTTCTATTCCACCAGTTCCTGGACCCAGAGGGAAGCAGGGCACAGCAAATGCCTTAGCATATGGATAGGGTGGCGATTTTGAGGCCATGTTGAGGAGACATAGTTGTGTTTGTGTCTTGCGCTTGGCAAGTCTCACTGCGCTTGGAGGAGGACCAGGAAGACCTAGTAAGCGGCTTAGTATGGCAGCGAGGATAGTGCACTCATCCCAGAATGTCATACAACCGGAAAAATGTACAGCTCTCTCCTTAACTATAGCCAAGATATTCTGAGCATGTTCCTCATCTCCACAAGAGCGGTCATCATAGTCATAGTGGATGAAAGAGGCCACAAGAGAAGAGGCAAAATGGTTCGGATTTGACTCCACTAAATGGATCTAAAGGAAACAGAGGTTTGAAAAGAAGTAACAGGTTTATAAAAACACCATTACAAACAAAGGAATCAAAACAGTCAGTATACCATTACACACCATAATATTACATTTGTATGTCAATTCCTGGCAGGTGGAAAAACCATTGTCAAAACATGGGATGGGTATGCATCTAGGGCCTTCAATCATCTGTGCACCTGTGAAGTTCTAGAGACTAACCCTGGCCTACTGTATAAACACATATGACCTATGACCATCAGAAAGTACATTGCTTTGCTCTACAACTTTGTAATATTTTTTTAAAGACCTAACTGAATGTTCAAACTCTGCCGTGAAACTAGTATCTCATTTGTGGGATGGGGAACAGCTGCTTCCATCAGAGTTACCATGAATGGATGTTTTTCTTTCTGACAGAGTCCTTCCACCAGGAATGTATATTTTAGGTACAGGTGGATTCAGATGGACCACCAATGGCCATCACTGTTGTGACTATTCTAAATCCAAGAATAAGAGTCCAACTGTTTGTGTTGCTTTGTCCTGTATAATTAACATAAATAGAGAACCTGGAGCTAAAATCAAGTCCTCATGATCCTCACAACTGTACCAGGAAGCATGGCTGGATCTAGGGGGGTGTTGGGGTGGGCTGCTCCCCTCCAGATTTCAGTTTCACTGCCCCCCCCCAGCAACTCCTCTTCCTCATGAATATTGTGCCCATCAAGGCTGCACATCGCTCATCAGCACAAGCGGCTGTCTGTGATATTCTGCCCAACCAGCACACAACCCCCCTCCCTTCCATGAACAGGAGAGGAGAGAGGGCTTGGTCAGCTCTGCCACCTCTTGCTCCTATCCCCATGTCTGCCTAACCTACACTGCAATCCCCTGTGTGCAGCCAGTGCTGTGCATAAGAAAGGGGATGTGTGGGCAAGAGATTGGAAGTAAAGCAACTGGCAGCTCCTTCAAGGCTGCGTGAATGATGCCTTTACCTGATCCCACAGATTCCAGAATGAAGAGAGTGAGCAGCTCTCCCCATCTCCCTCTCTTCTTCCTCCCATCCCCCCCCCCCTTATTCCAGGAGCTCCTCACACTTGCCCACCTGATTTCATGTCCAGTTAGCACTTAGGGACAACTGAACCCTGATGTAAGGGGGCACTCTGCCAGGCTCTTATGTAAGGGGCACTCCGATGGATTCTGATGTAAGAGGTCACTCTGTTGAATTTTGATTTAAGGGGTCACGCTGTTGAATTCTGATGTAAGGGGACACCCCACTGGATTCTGATGTAAGAGAACATTCCACTGGATTCTGATGTAAGAGGGCACTCTGCCGTATTCTGATGCAAGAGGGCACTCTGCTGGATTCTGATGTAAGGGGGAACGCTGCAGGATTCTGCTGTAAGAGGGCACCCTACTGGATTCTGGTGTAAAGTAGCATTCTGCCAGACTCTGATATACTGTAAAGGAGCACTCCACTGGATTCTGATATAAGGGAGCACTCTGTCTAACTCTGAAGTAAGGGGGCACTCTGCTGGATTCTGATGTAAGGGGGCACTCAGCCAGAATCTCGTGTAAGGTGGAACTCTGCTGTAAAAGGGGACGATGCAGACTCTGATGGTGGTGGAATTCAGGGGACACTGATGTAATGTAGGACTTTGGAGACATGGATGTAAGGGGGGACTCTGATGTATATGGGGAATGCTGGGTTACTTTAATCTAAGAGAGGACTCTGATGAGAATGTGACACTCGTCCTGGCTGTTGCACTCCATATGCTGTTTTGTTTATTACTTGCTCATGACTCCTGTATTCTGTACGTTATGCTGTACATACAGTAGACCTGACCAAGATGTTCATTGTCTCAACAATTGCTGGTTTTAATTAAGTGCACCTTTAGGGTAGGCTCAGTAAGGCAGCCCATACATTATTCATTTTTAAAATTTAACCACTAGGTTGAAAGGAAAACAAATGTTCCAATTCCCCCATCCACACACTCGAGGTGGATGGGGGAATCTCACCCACTGAGGTATTGTGTTCTGACAGCTAGGAGACTTCTCTGCCATCAGAATACACTATTATTGCTGCCGGCCACAGCCAGCAGTACTGACCAAACGGACGTTTTCCTAAAAGCTGGTTGTACAGAAGTTCATGGGTAGATCGACCTCTATACAATCAGCCTGCCCATACATGGAGTGAAATTCAGCTGGTGCCTAAGACAAAAATATCCTTTTTGTGTACATAAAAACATATGTAATGGAAACGTTTAATTGATAATCCTTTGTCCTGAGGTTTATTTGTGTCCGTGAGACTGTCGGTTGTTGCACAGCATTTAGTATTTTGTGGGAATTGTATACAGCAAATGCAGATTCTGTTCAATCCCCCTTCAAGAACCCCACTGACCACTGTAGAACATTTATGTTCTGTCCCAGAGCTCTCTATGACTTTCATAATTCTAGTCTTAATCACATTTTGTCATGCTGTTTTGACTTTTTAATACTAAAGCTAGGCAGATTACTTGTTATGAGTATTATTAATATTCTCAATGTTACATATTGTTTATTCTGTTTAAAGGCTAAGTTTTTCTTTAGGAACATATTATGTGTTCTCTGCCCTGCTGACCCACCTGTGCACTACAATACTGACTCCCGTACGCTCCCCTGTTAACTTCTCACTTTCTGCCCCCCTGACATTTTGTACTGCACCCCCACATCAGACCATGGAACTCAGATGCAAAGCTATAAGAAGCAGGTGGGTGCATCAGTCCATCAATTTCAATATAAATATGAATAGTGTACTCTACTGGCAATCAATTCTTTCACAAAGTTTGAAGTTTAAGTGATACCTTTTACTGGTTAACTTAATATTTAAAAGAAGAATCCAGGTTTGGCATTTTATACATACAGTAGTACATTGGTTCAGCTTGGACTAATGTGACTATGCATTTACCATACCTGTGGGATCACTCTTAAACCAGAAAATCACTGTAGTGGCCACCACTACTCCAGTGATCTCCACTAGCTTCTGAGTCCCATTCCGAGCGGTTGCCCTGCTGCATTCTGAACAAGGTTGGCTGCTCAGCACAGGCACTATTTAGAGAATACTTTGCATTTTCTCAATGAATGCAAAGCAATCCCTGATTGGACAAGGTGCAAAGGCAAAGCAGAGACAGAAACACTGAAGCCATCAGATGGTCCCACACCAAAGAAAAAAAAAAACCAAAAACGTATGAGTCTTAAATCACCAAATACATTTCTGTTCTTTTTGCAGTTACAAACACAGTAACATGTCTCCACACACCTTTATTCCATAGTCACGAGCTGCTTGCCAGATAAATTTTTTACTGATGCCACCAGCTCCAATCACCAGGACTTCTTTCCCTTCCATTATATAGGTCATTGAGCGTCTCAGCATGGTCTCTATCAAAGGACTTGATGCGGAGCTAACAGTCACAGATTTTGCGGCAGCCAAGCTTCCCAAAAGACATTCGTGTATTCCACAGCTCTCCAGGCAGAAGGCAGTGGTGACACCCAGAACTACCGGGGTTACCATGTAGTCAATGCAAGTAAGCAAAAGATCGACTCCTAAAGGTAAAATAAAAAAATAAACTTAGCTTTATTCTGGCAAGGTTAACAGTATCTGGTCAGCAGGTACTCAGAAATTTTCTTGTTTTCTGCACATTATTTGAATGTCAGTTTAGAATAGCAAAAAATATAATATGAGATATTATCTTATCATGCATAGGTTAGGACATGGTGGTGTTAGGATCTATTATGTACTGTTAGGAAGTGTGCACTCTGCCACTGTCCCATAATATTCAAGAGCAAGAGCACTATGCTTATAATGGTAATGGCCTTAGATGATAAAAGTTCTTCAGTGGGTATGCAACGGCATAACCATAATCCACATGAACTAGGCTGTTTAAGCTTTCATTTACCAACATGGTCTAATTCTTCATGGATGCCAAGGACAATACTGGTGAGAACAGTAAATATGATTAATGCTAAGTATTTTTAAAGAAAAGCTGGTGTCTAGGAAGAATGGCAGACACGACTGAGGGTTATAAAAAAGCAAATAGGTCTACCTTCAAATACATTTATAATTAAAGGCTATGTTCTCATCTTTGTAAAAAGGTCTTATATTTCTAATGCTACATGCTGCATTTTTTCTTTAAGAACTTTTGTAATCCTTACCAAGTACATCTGTTTGCACCTTGTTCCCTCCTCTTAGTTTTGGGCTCAGCTTTTTCTCTTCCTCTATTATTACTTTCATGACCCTTTCTGAGGTCTCTTTGAGTTGGGCCCGAATATTGTTCTTCTGTCCTTCATCTTGTATGCCCCATAATTCCAAGGTTGTGTCCAGTGACTGGGGAAGGGCCGATCGATGGCAAAGAGGTTTCTCTGCCCGGCCCACGGTACATACCACCTAGAACCGAAGCATCAAAAACCCTCTCAATAAGAGAAAACAGAAAAGATAAGATCAGCAGCACAAGATAAAAAAAATCACTGATTAGCCAAAAATACACTATTTGCTCATGAAACATTTGAGAAAGCGATTTTCCATTATGAGAAAATCTAAAAGAACTCTTGTCTTCAGGGGCTCAGGATAAGGGTTTGTAGATTGGAGGGGTTACAAGCCCCAGGAGAATAGGGGGCAGCCCCGTTACCTTGCTTAGAATTGGTTGGTCTCCGCGAGATCGGCAGACAACGGCACAGAGACGAATCGCCAGCTCTGGGGGGCGCACGGAGCAGCCTGGGGGGTGGGGCAGAGACAGTAATACAGGAAGAAAGAGGGGGGAGAAGGAAGGGAGGCAGAAGTCGAAGAAAGTGGAGAATGATAGAAGCAAAGATGTACAAGGAAGAGAGAAAGAAAGAACTGACCCTCCTTCAATACAGAAGCAATATATCTCACAATAAAAAAAATATTTGGGATAAGAAGAGGGAAGCCTCTTCTCAGACTTCCATGAAACTGCTGCCCTGTGCTGGAAAAAATGTCACCTCTATACCACTAGAAAAGATGTGAAATCTTACCCAGCACAGGAGACAGACCTTATGATTGAGTAAGGGCCCAGCGAGATACAGAGGAGGTCAAAAAGGACAAGTGTGACAGGGTGTGCAAGAGAGGAACATGTTTAATACAGAACATGAAAAAAATGCAGATTGAGTATAAAGCAAGAACAGGAAAACAGGAAATCAAGGTAGAAATGAAAGATGTAAAAAAATAAATAAATAAATAAAAAGCAATAAAAATAAATAAATAATGAGAAAAAAACATAGAGAGAGATGGGAAGGAAGAGACAGAAGGAAAGGGGTATCAGGAGAGGATGCTGCAGAGTATCACTCTCTCTTTGCCCCTCCCATAAAGAAGCAAATAGATTTTCCCTCCCATTAAGTCCCCATGCTTACGTGGTATACAGGCAGGAGGTTGCGGTGGCTTGAGTCTGCGTGGGGGCACTGTGTTTATAAACCCCTCAAGCAGAACTGCTTGACCCTCTGGGTACTCAGATAGAATGTTCAGCACAGCATCAAACACAGCATGTGGGTCATGAGTGAAATAGAAGGTTGGTGAAGAAGAAAGGTTTAGATGAGGCCAGCAAGTCTTCACCACAACCTAAGATAAAATGAAACAATTTATAGAATCTGTAAAGGGAAAACTACATTGTTGAGCCCTAAAATTGAGAAACATGTCTTTCCTACCTTATGATGACCCTTTAACTTCAGTGATTCAAGAAATGCAGAAATCTCTTGCTGTACTCTTTGTTCTCTACCTTCCTTTTGAAGGAATTCCACCACTTTTATGGATTTAGCCTCCCCATTACGTGGTTCCCAAGGGCCTAACTGATGAGAAGAATTAAGAACCAGGGCAGGAGGAAGTGGAATTTCCTTGTGATCTAGTAAGAGTCGCACCCCCAAAGTATCAGCAAAGAGGCAGGAAAGCTGAGGAGATCCTCCCATTGGGCAGTCCCACTGGTCTTCCAGCAAGAACTGCTCCCCTAACCAGGAGAGGTATGTAACTTTTCGAGGGGGGAGAGAAGGTATCCAAGAAGGTTTGACCCCCATGATCAAAAGTTATAGCCTGTCTGATGAAGAGAGGAGGTGGGCATGCTGAGGCAGGAGGCCGTGGGCAGAACCATGAACTGGACAGACAGAGGAATATTTTGCCTGTAATAAAAGGAAAAATCTGTAAGAGAAAATTTGTAAACTGCATTTACCCATCTCTTTTAGGAACCCTACATACAAAAGCATTGTACATCAAACGTGAAACAAATGTAGCGCTAATCGCTTGATGTTCAAATAAATCAATGTGCAAATAAAATAAAAATCCCCTCAATTATAAGTGAATAAACGTGCTACTATAAATAACCTCATGCTTACAAAGAAACACAAAAAAATTCCTATAGTGATGGTGAAAACCCAGTCTTATTGACTGACATAACAGTGCATATTTAAACAAATATACATAAACACACAATGTGCACTAATATATATATATATATATACACACCTACACAAATCCCATAAAGTGGATAAAACAACCTCATGTGCAAGAGGTATAGTCATCAACCCACGTTTTTTACACGGATATCAGCACGAGTTTGTTTTGTTCACTGGAGTGTGATTATTGAAAGATTGGACTCTAAAAAACGCATGAAAATAGATTATTGTGTGTATACTGTGTCACTAATCAGAGTTCACTCTTGCACATGAGGTTGTTTTATCCACTTTATGGGATTTGTGTAGGTGTGTATATATATATATATATATATATATATATATATTAGTGCACATTGTGTGTTTATGTATATTTGTTTAAATATGCACTGTTATGTCAGTCAATAAGACTGGTTTTTCACCATCACTATAGGAATTTTTTTTTGTGTTTCTTTGTAAGCACGAGGTTATTTATAGTAGCACGTTTATTCACTTATAATTGAGGGGATTTTATTTGCACATTGATTTATTTGAACATCAAGCGATTAGCACTGCATATGTTTCACATTTTAATTTTTGAGGATCATTGGATACATGATTTAATGTTGGCAGCTTTTCGCTATTAATATTATCGTTTAAAATTAGTCTGAGCGCAGGAGGTTCACACCACTATTGTACATCAAACGTCTCCACATATGCTTATACTTTGGAACGAAGAATAACTGTACAAAGTTTAACAGAACCCCTTCTCTCAGTTTGACATTATATTGGACTTCTAAAAAGCTAGATCAGAAATAAGGAGGTCTAATACACAACTTATGTAAATATAGACATTATAGATGCAGTTACTGGGGTGATCTGTTTTTAATCTTTCTCATTGCAATGCAATATAATGTTTTGAATCACATGTAAAATTAGTGACTGAATGAAAACAAGCCATATAATTAACATATTCTAAATAATTTAAAGGTTGGTTGTCAACCTTCATCTTGGAGCAGTTCCCTCACAGTGAATGCACTGCAGTGTTCCCACATACAGTGCATCCAGAAAGTATTTCCAGCGCTTAACTTTTGCCACATTTTGTTATGTTACAGCCTTATTCCAAAATGGATTAAATTAATTTTTTTCCTCAACATTCTACAGACAATAATCCCTTAATGACAGTGAAAGAAGTTCGTTTTGAAATCTTTGCAATTTATTAAAAAAAAAAACACATGTACATAAGTATTCACAGCCTTTGCCATGACACTCAAAATTGAGCTCTGGTGCATCCTGTTCCTACTGTTCATCCTTGAGATGTTTCCACAACTTGATTGGAGTCCACCTGTGGGAAATTCAGTTGATTGGACATGATTAGGAAAGGCATAAACCTGTCTATATAAGGTCCCACAGTTAACAATGCATGTCAGAGCACAAACAAAGCCATGAAGTCCAAGGAATTGTCCGTAGACAGGATTGTATCAAGGCACAAATCTGGGGAAGGGTAGAGAAACATTTCTGCAGCATTGAAGGTCCCAATGAGCACAGTGGCCTCCATCATCCGTAAATGGAAGAAGTTTGGAAGCACCAGGAATCTTCCTAGAGCGAGCCGCGCCCGGCCAAAATGAGCCATCGAGGGAGAAGGGCCTTAGCCAGGGAGGTAACGAAGCACCCAATGGTCACTCTGAAAGAGCTGAGGAGAACCTTCCAGAAGAATAACCATCTCTGCAGCACTCCACCAATCAGGCCTGTATAGTAGAGTGGCCAGACGGAAGCCACTCCTCAGTAAAAGGCAAATGGCAGCCCGCCTGGAGTTTGCCAAAAGGCACCTGAGGGACTCTCAGACCATGAGAAAAAAAACTCTCTGGTCTGATGAAACAAAGGCTGAACTCTTTGGCCTGAATGCCAAGCATCATGTCTGGAGGAAACCAGGCACTGCCCACCACCTGGCCAATACCATCCCTACAGTGAAGCATTGTGGTGGCAGCATCATGCTGTGGGGATGTTTTTCAGTGGTAGGAACTGGGAAACTAGTCAGGATCAAAGGAAAGATGAATGCAGCAATGTACAGATACATCCTTGATGAAAACCTGTTCCAGAGCACTCTGGACCTTAGACTCGGGTGACGGTTCATCTTTCAACAGGACAACGACCCTAAGCACGCAGCCCACATAACAAAGGAGTGACTATGGGCAAAATCAGTGGATGTCCTGGAGTGGCCCAGCCAGAGCCCAGACATGAACCCGATTGAACATCTCTGGAGAGATCTGAAAATGGCTGTGCACCGACGCTCCCCATCCAACCTAACGGAGCTTGAGAGGTACTGCAAAGAAGAATGGGAAAAACTGCCCAAAAATAGGTGTGCCAAACTTGTAGCATCATACTCAAAACGACTTGAGGCTGTAATTGGTGCTATAGGTGCTTCAACAAAGTATTGAGCAAAGGCTGAGAATACTTATGTATATGTGGTTTTTTTTCTTCATTTTTTAATTTTAATAAATTGCAAAGATTTCAAAACAAACTTCTTTCACGTTGCCATTATTTGTTGTAGAATGTTAAAGAAGAAAAATAATTTAATCCATTTTAGAATAAGGCTGTAACATAACAAAATGTGGCAAAAGTTAAGCGCTGTGAATACTTTCTGGATGCACTGTATAGCACAAACAGGCACTTTCATCTGCTCACAAATATTCTCAGAATCACCATATCTTTGGAAACGTACCAGAGCTGTCAGAATGTCATTCCAGGCCTTCTTTTTAGTATATTTTTAGTCTAATTGTATAGAATTGTCGTTATATTTAATGATCTGAGGACTCCAGAATTGTGGAACCCTAAAATAATTCTGTTCCCACAAAAATATTTATATTCTGCCTTTCAGGAAATTCACTTTCAAACTTTCATCTCTTCCCATGGCCCAGTGATTTCTTGATAGAGATATTGTCCTACCTGGACACTGTCTTACTCCTTCCAGAAGAATGGATATGGTAAAGGTTGGGGCCCCAGCAACACAAATTGTGATGGTGTCCTCATTATGGCCTGGGTAGAAAACAAAATATTAATGTTTGTCATTACTAAACTAATATAAGGTAAGTAGAATCTCTAATCTTCTATGTTTTAATATATACGGTACTTGTGGAAGAGACTAGCAAATATTAATTTTTCAAAAACAAATGCGAATGGGGTAAAGACCTTTTCTCATTACGTGTGTAGGCTCTACTTTCTGCTTATTAGTGCTGTACAATAGATGTGCATTTTTACTCCTTTTTCTTACTGTCAAGCTACCAGACAGGGTATGTCTGAAGAACAAAAACTCACTAAGGATGTCTCTAAGAATGTGAATCCACCAAAATGATGGTGTCATTTTTGCCTTAAAGCGGAACTAAATTTCACACAGGTTTCTAAGGGCTGTTGCCATAATTAGCATACTTTCACATTAAGTCCATTTTCACCCTTAGGGGTCTATGTATAAAAAAAAATCACCATGTAGCTGTCTTAAGCATTCACACAGGCCCAAGGAGTGACTGCTACATTATTTGTAATATGATCTCCTATGATCATCATCCAGTGACCATAAAGTAGTTTTTTTCTGAAATACCTCAATAAAAAAAAAATATTTCTTTCTGAAATAACTCAATTAAAAATAATTTCTACAGTACATTATACTGTATAAAGTATGTACACAGTTTTTTCAGACTATGGTAGTTCTAGCTGCAGGAATCTGGGGCTGTATTTCCCATTTTGTTTTTAAAAAACTTTATCAGACCTCAATGTTCGGCCTAATGGCATGCTTTCAAAATTAGCGCCTGCTTGTAGATTACTAGCACAAGGTGATAGCTTGGTAAGATAATTGTTTTCCTTATCAAATACATTTTATGTATTTGTAATCTACATTGACGTTTGCCCAAGGCTCAGACATTTGTTCATCATGCTATTTTTGTTGCCAGTTGGGTCATTCTGTTTGACTAAACTTGCCCTGAATATGGTTCCAATGATATAACATACCTGTGCGTGGTTGTTTGGTCCGGTCTTCTGTCTCTGGCAAACCTGCATTAATCAGAATTCTCTGTAGCTCCCTAAACCGCTCAGTGACATTAGTTTTATGGTCCATTCCATTACTGCTATTCTTCAGGTCTTGTGATTTGACTGATGAGTCTTTTTCCCATGGTGGACCATCAGGAACAGCTCCTGCAGACCACCCCTTATTTATGTCTCCATCTTTGGAGTACATAGGGTGATCCAATATAAGCTGATCAAGTGACAGCTGAAAAAAAAATGCAAAAAAAAACACAGAACAAAAGCATTTTTATTTTCCTAAGGTGGCTTGACAATCCCAAAAGTCCAGTAAACAAAGCAGATAAAAAGTTAAACTGGTAAGCAAATTTTGGAAGCCTAGTTTTATTGTCAATGGAAGGATGTGTCACTTGGGTCCCTAAAATCAAATTTTGACTCCTACATTTGACCTCCTGGCTTCTGAGTTCTAAATTAGTTTGTCTACAAATGCTACAGTCATCAGCCACTTTATTAGGTACACCTTGCTAGTACTGGGTTGGACCCACTTTTGCCTTCAGAACTGCCTTAATTCTTCATGGCATAGATTCAACAAGGTGTTGAAAACATTCCTCAAAGATTTTGGTCAATGTTGACATGAGTTACTGTTTCTTTTCTATCATCTGGAACCAGTCTGCTCATTCTCCTCTGACCCCTGACATTAACAAGGCATTTACATCTGCACAACTGCCTCTCACTGGACATTTTCTCTATTTTGGACCAAGCTATGTAAACCCTAGAGATGGTTGTGCATGAAAATCCCAGTAGATCAGCAGTTTTTGAAATACTCAGACCAGCCCATCTTGCATCAACGTTTACCACATTCAAAGTCACTTAAATCCCTTTTCTTCTCCATTCTGATGCTTGTTTTGAACTTCAGCAAGTCGTCTTCACCACGTCTAGATGCCTAAATGCATTGAGTTGCTGCCAAGTGATTGGCTGAGTAATATTTTGTATTACCAAGCAATTGGACAGGTGCAGGTTTTTTGAGTTTGGGCAAGGACACAGGGGCCCCATGATCCCCTATTGCCCGGAGGTCCCATGAGTTGTCAGTCCTCCCCTGGACAGGTGTACCTAATAAAGTGGCCGGTGAGCGGATATAGATGTTTCCATATTAACAGGGTACAAAGATGCACCTTATTAAATTTAGAGACAAAATGTGGCTCAATGTATTCAGCAATAAACGGATCCCTATTTAAAGAGACTCGTCAGGTCTCTAAACAAATCAAAAGACCAGTTTTACCTCCCCCAAATCCCATGACTCCCATCTTCCCACCGTTTCAAAGCCATGGCCTCTATCTGTCTTTTCTGCATTCAAATCAGGGAGTGTAAGATGACTGGCATATCCTGGCACCTTCCTTTGACCTCTAGTCTTAGCCTAGTGCTGCAAGGTGGGGACACAGGAACCCAACAGTCCTAGAAGTTTTAAATGCCACAGAGACTGTCAGAGGCTGTTGGACCAGAATAGAGGGAAGGCTGGAGTCATGGCTACCAGAGAGACAAGTATAATGCCACTTCTCTTGCAGGGAACTGACCGTATGATTCGTTTAGAGTTCTGTCCTGCAACTGAAACTTGAAAAGGCAAATTCAGGTCTTAAAACATGCAATTAACATATACCTGCATGTACCTTTATATATGTGTATGTCCAGCAAAAACCTTAATTTTGTATAGAGTGGGAAAGAGTCTACAGAACTGGGAGGAAGTGGGGAAGGACCAAAAGTCAATTGAACTCTTCAACAGCAAAGCAACACTTTGCTGGTTTACTCAAAAAATAGCCTTTGAGGTTGGTGAAAATACATATGCATATACCAGCGCACTTCCGCTAAAAGTTGAGTGTTTGTCACCTTAACCAAAAAACATTAAAACAAAAAACAAAACTGCCCAAAGGGTAGGCAAAAGTGGTTACTATTGTTGTCAAATATTTACTGGGCATAGGTATCACAGAAAATGAGTCTTATTACTTAGTATCACAAAACCGACAATTTTTATTATTCTATTTGAATAAAACACCAGCGTGGATGCAAACATCAATCATAATAGATTCAGCACATAGAAAACATGAATAGACAAAACAGAATAGACAAGAAAAAATAATAAAAACGTCCGGACGCATGCAAATTCACACATGGGTTACATGTGCACCACGCCGCCTATGTTGTCTAGAATAACTTTCAAGGTAACCCGCATGTGTGAATCTGGGATCTGTAGGGGCCCAATAATTAAAAAGAGACAAAAGTGCAGTAAAGTAACTCAAAAATTTTTGAGGCTTCAAAAGCATGCTCAAATTGGGTTGCCAGGCCTTAAGTGGTCAGTGTGGCGATTTGTGTTAGAAAATTCATCCATTAGATGGTTATATCCCATAAGGCGTCAGAAAGATCAGTTCATCACACAGGTCCCTATGGAGTGTATTGCAGGAGGCGGAGACCGTAAATTATCCTGTATGATATAGGACTTAATAATGGCACTGTGATGGCGTTCCTGGAGTGTCAGTAGGAGCATGAAGAGATTTTTGACTCACACAAAGCTATAAGGAGCAGCAGCCAACTCTCCGTGAGGATCGGACTGACATTTTTAACTGTGGAATGGCTGTGGACAGGCAAGTGAGTGGTAATGTATGTGCCACCCTTTCCTGGGAGGTAGTGGAGACCCCAAGGACACAAGAATACTTAATGCTCCTTGATATTGACCGGAAGAAAAATGGAGTTATAAGTAACTGTGTGCCATATCAGGTTGGCTATTTGTCCTGGGGTGACGCTGCTCACAGTTTGCCCATATTTACCATATCTACAGTTGGATTTATGCTGCTCCCTGATGCTGTCACGTACACTTATTAAGTCATATATTGTACAGGATAATTTGCGGTCTCCGCCTCCTGCAATACACTCCATGGGGACCTGTGTGATGAACTGATCCTTCTGACTCCTTATGGGATATAACCATCTAACTGATGTATTTTCTGAAACAAATTGCTACACTGACCACTTAGGGCCTGGCCACCCAATTGAGCGTACTTTTGAAGCCTCAAAAATGTTTGAGTTACTTTAGTGCACTTGTGTCTCTTTTTGAATATTGGGCCCCTAGAGATCCCAGATTCACACATGGGGGTTACCTTGAAAGCTATTCTAGACAACATAAGCGGTGTGGTGCTGTAGCATGTAACCCATGTGTGAATTTACATGCGTTCCGGACGTTTTTATTACTTTTGTTTGTCTATGCTGTTTTGTCTATTCATGTTTTCTATGTGCTGAATCTATTATGATTGATGTTTGCATCCACGCTGGTGTTTGTTTCAAATCAAATAATAAAATTGTTAGTTTTATGATACTAAGTATTAAGACTCATTTTCTGCAAAACCTATGCCAAGTAAATGTTTGTTATCAATTGTAACCACTTTTGCCTACCCTTTTGGCAGTTTTGTTTTTGTTTTTTAGCACTTTTTTGCAGGTTGCTAAAAATATTTTATTTAGTAGTGTAGTGGAAGGCTAGAACCCCTGTTCCAATCTTTCTTTAACATTTTGTGGTTATTGTACAGAAATGAGAACAAGAAATCATAAGTATTTGCAAGACAGAATATATAGGGGAGTCATGAAGGTACATTGTAGAGGAGACACTGTCATTGGCATATCATACAGTTGGGTAGTAATCAGTATACATAACAGACAAGGCAGATGGTTAGAATTCAAAATTTGCTTCTTTGGCTGAAATATATATGGGATAAAGTTGTATCTTATGTTAGGAGCAAGCACTTTTGTGGATGTAACAACATTTGTTGTGATGTTCAGAATAGAGGGAGCATTTCTGCTGTAGTACTGTACTGTACTGTACTGTAGTATATCAACATTGTATACCAAATTAAAAAAAGAAGAAAAAAGCGCCACTTACAAAAAACACCAAAGTGTCAGCAGCATATCCCACCCCAAATAAATTTTGGCAACAATAATCCAAATTAAAAGGTATGCGCTAATAACAAACTTATACAAAAGTGTATGTCATCATCCATGGATGATGACATACACTTTTGTATAAGTTTGTTATTAGCGCATACCTTTTAATTTGGAGTATCAACATTGTGTCTTGACTTCCTATAGTACCTTAAAACTTACTATATATTTGTCAGTAAAGAAAAAGTGATAAGAAATCAATATCAGTAGGTAAGGTAGACAAAGGGGTTTAAGTAAGATGTTGTAGGGATTAAGTGTTAGAAAATGTAGGAGATAATAGTACTTTTTACATTATTCTCAACAAATCTTTGGCTGATATTCTTTCATATGTTCAATAGATTAATAATCACTCCACTTGGCTCCTCTTACCGCATTATTTAATATTCAATATGATGACTGCATATAGCAAGGTCTCCACCCACGAACCAATCTTTCTTGACGCATTTCACCACTCCTGGCTTACTCACAAGGATAAAGTCCAGAGTCAATTTATTGATTATTAAATTAGAAGTAACAGGTAAGAGGAACCAAGCGAATTGCATCTATTTCTTCATATTTTCAATAGATGAATGATCAGAGATTTGTTAGTCAAGAATAATTTAAAAAGTATCTAGCATGTCCAGGTTAGCTGAAATTGTGTAATGGTATGCATAGAAAAAATATTGGGACTTCCAGTGGGTGAGAACTAGAGCTTTTGCCGAGTTAAGAAGGTGTATGGTCAGTTAGGATTTATATTTATAAGGAGAGACATTTGATATACTGTAGTAATCTGAGTAATTTGATATACTTTATTCTGTAATCTGAGTGATGAGGTCTCTGACACTGGACTAATAACGGTAATATGGGATCATTTCCACCAGATATGGCTAATTGGCATCTCCACCAATGGTCAGATCTGGTGGGAGACCAAGATTGGAGTTTAGCTTGGGTAGCTCTCACCTTTCCTGGATTCTGGTGCTAAGTAGTAGTACTTATGAAGTATTTATGGGCCAAAATACAGGCCCAAAAGATAGGAGTTTAGCTGGGGAAGCTCACCAATATACAGTATATTGCCAAAAATATTGGGATGCCTGCCTGCCTGCCTGCCTTTACACGCACTTGAACTTTAATAGCATCCCAGTCTTAGTCCATAGGGATCAAAATTGAGTTGGCCCCCCTTTGCAGCTATAACAGCTTCAACTCTTCCTGGAAGGTTGTCCACAAGGTTTAGGAGTGTGTCTATGGGAATGTCTGACCATTCTTCCAGAAGCACATTTGTGAGGTCAGGCACTGA